AGTTGTTGTCCTCACATGCAGCCATGGCTGAATTATGCATCATTTGCCTCGATGACAAAATTTGGCCTGCGGTTAACATTGGCCAATCGGCACCAAGCGGCGAAATCAGCGAAAATGAGTTGATTTAGAGCACTTACCCGAAACTCGATAACAACTTTTCGAGCAACTGCACTGTCCAGCATTGTCTTGTACCACTGTATTAGAAGCTCTTGTCTGACATCCTTTGCCCAGGTGGACGACAGTTGAATATAGTCTTGGTTTTCCCAGTAGGGCATGCCCAAAGGTTAACAGCGACAAAGCCTCGCTTTGCTATATAGTCCGTATACACCCAACATACATTCATGCCGCATTTCCTGCATTTGCACTTTGCCATCGTGAATCTCTACCAGTACTTCTGAGTACTTCTTTCTTGTTTTGAATTGTACGTTGAACTCATTGGATTTCTTTGTATTCTGTATCTCGTTATCGTTATATTTCCCTCTAGCCCTCTCGCTTAGGATGAGCTTTCTTTTTTATGGCAGCTTAAGCGAAGGCTATATACCTGCTTTATGCGGGTTGATGCCAACGCGAACAAGCAAAATAATAATAATAACTTCTGAGGTAGCAAGCTGAGTTTCATACATAACGTTAGATCTACTGAATAGGTAATTATTTACCTGTATGCCATAAGCATCAGCAGCTTCGGACTTGGATTTGAATCATCTTTCATGATAGTTGAGTGAGAGACACCTTTTGTCAAAAATTGCAGTTTCTGACCTTCACCTTTTTGGCTAATCTCTTCTTCAGCCCTGCTACTTTGACGGTGTGACAGACTCATTGCTGGCATCGGTGACCAGCCTAGGGTTTCGACCTGCCGTAGAATATGCTCGCTGGCTCTTGGACGTCCTTCAAGCATCCATTGAGGGATATTTTACCTCATATGAATTTACAAATTCGATTTTTCAGCGAATTTTTGGGTAGTCTGCCACCTTAAGGGGGTTCGCGACGGTTAGCGCCATGTTGGATTGTGTTTTGGATTGTGTTTTGTTGCCCGTAAAAGAGGCTTTTGGATCATCAAAATCATCATCATCATCATCATCAGGTTGTGCATACGTGGGGCTCGGTCACGGTACCACCATCCGGCGAGATGTTTTCATGATGTCTCGATTGCCGTGGCCGAGTCAGGTCTAGTTTGTTAAGTATCGTGCTGTGTCCTGACTGTGCATGCGGGATTGGTATGGCGCTTACCCTTTTGTTGCTGTTTTGTTGCTTTCATGCCTTTAAGCATGTAATTGTGTTCAATTGTTGTATTTCATGGAAAAACGATCTTTGCGTTGGATTCATTTAAACTATTATTTGTGTAGGGTTCCACTCCTTCATCTTGGGAAATTGTGTTTTGTTTGCCCAAAGAAGTGGCTTCATCATCATCAAAAAAAAAAAAAAAAAAAAAAAATCATCATCATCATCATAATCATCATGCTGTGTCCTGACTGTGCATGCGGGATTGGTATGGCGCTTACCCTTTTGTTGCTGTTTTGTTGCTTTCATGCCTTTAAGCATGTAATTGTGTTCAATTGTTGTATTTCATGGAAAAACGATCTTTGCGTTGGATTCATTTAAACTATTATTTGTGTAGGGTTCCACTCCTTCATCTTGGGAAATTGTGTTTTGTTTGCCCAAAGAAGTGGCTTCATGATCATCATAATCATCATACATCTCAATCTTCGGGAGGTAGCTATTCGTCGTTGATGGGTTATTATCGTTGTCGGGTGTCTTTCGCGCTGCTACGTTCCGCTGTGTTGTGTGTCAGGGGTGCTCGATCGGCCCGTCACCGTCCAGTTCACATGCTTCGTGAGTTGGCGATGGTGGAGGGTCGGGTTCCCCTGCAGTGATTGGTGCTGCACCGAGCTAGTTTGGTGTGAAAGTGTAACTATTGTTATTATTCTTATATTTACATCAAGTATTACTAAATAATTGAGAGGCTTTGAATCGTTTTTATCAAAATCAAAATATTTTCCGGGTTGGAAGGTGGGATCAAAAAATCATCATCATCATCATCATTTTTTGATGTAAGGGTGTTTAATCCTGACGCTTCTTCCTACGCGTCCCGAAGCCTGGACGCGCTCTTCCGGCAACATGAGGGCGCTACGAGACTGCAATATCAGGAGAGAGTAGTCAATGTTGAGCGTGGTGCCTTTGCACCTCTTGTGTTTTCCGTGAATGGGGCTGCTGCGCCGGCATCCACGGCCTTCCTCAGGCGCCTTTGCCTCCTTACATCTCAATATTCGGGAGGTAGCTATTCGTCGTTGATGGGTTATTATCGTTGTCGGGTGTCTTTCGCGCTGCTACGTTCCGCTGTGTTGTGTGTCAGGGGTGCTCGATCGGCCCGTCACCGTCCAGTTCACATGCTTCGTGAGTTGGCGATGGTGGAGGGTCGGGTTCCCCTGCAGTGATTGGTGCTGCACCGAGCTAGTTTGGTGTGAAAGTGTAACTATTGTTATTATTCTTATATATACATCAAGTATTACTAAATAATTGAGAGGCTTTGAATCGTTTTTATCAAAATCAAAATATTTGCCGGGTTGGAAGGTGGGATCAAAAAAAAAAATCATCATCATCATCATTGCTGAGCATGGTTTTTAATTATCCAAGGGAGACTTTCGCGATACCATTGCGTTACGCTATGACTGGCCGCTGCGTGACACCCCTGCTGTATGTGCTTGCGGGGCGGGTTTTTCCACGAGCCATGCTTTGAATTGTGTTTTTGGTGGATTCTCAACTCTTCGACACAATGAACTACGAGATCTGTTCGCTGTTGCCTTGACCGAGGTTTGCTCCAGTGTGTCTGTGGAGCCACCTCTCGCCCCTGTCGAGGGTGAGGTTTTTCAGGCCAGGTCGGCGAACACCTCTGTCGAGGCTCGCCTTGATGTGAGCGCTCGAGGCTTCTGGACGCGTGGGCAAGATGCATTTTTTGATGTAATGGTGATTAATCCTGACGCTTCTTCCTATGCGTCCAGAAGCCTGGACGCGCTCTTCCGGCAACATGAGGGCGCTAAGAGACGTCAATATCAGGAGAGAGTAGTCAATGTTGAGCGTGGTGCCTTTGCACCTCTGGTGTTTTCCGTGAATGGGGCTGCTGCGCCGGCATCCACGACCTTCCTCAGGCGCCTTTGCCACCTTACATCTCAATCTTCGGGAGGTAGCTATTCGTCGTTGATGGGTTATTATCGTTGTTGGGTGTCTTTCGCGCTGCTACGTTCCGCTGTGTTGTGTTTCAGGGGTGCTCGATTGGCCCGTCACCGTCCAGTTCACATGCTTCGTAAGTTGGCGATGGTGGAGGGTCAGGTTCCCCTGCAGTGATTGGTGCTGCACCGAGCTAGTTTGGTGTGAAAGTGTAACTATTGTTATTATTCTTATATTTACATCAAGTATTACTAAATAATTGAGAGGCTTTGAATCGTTTTTTATCAAAATCAGAATATTTGCTGGGTTGGAAGGTGGGAATCATCATAACATTCATCATAGAACAGCCTCTTGTACGGGCAAGCAAAAACGCAATACCGGTACATCAAAATTCAATTAGAATGAAAGGAGAGGAAAATGAACACAAAGTGCATCATCATCATCATCATCATCATCGAGCTTATTTTGTGTGAAAGTATATATTAATTTTTACAAAGAGAAAGACCAAGGAACTAAAAGTTACGCTATACTGTCCACTAACACCACCAGTTACTAAACAATCAGCTCATGCGATAACATTGCACGACACTGACCGACGGTACTGACGTTCTACAACTAACTGGCTAACAGCTCTTGCACATCTTGGAAGGGCACTCCAAAAGCCTTCCAACTTGGAAGGTTCTAAGTTATAGAAATAACATAAGGAGGGGAAGGTGAGCGCAACCAAGATAAGTAAGAGCTGAAAGGCTCAGCTGTGAAGGACGTTGGCGGATGTTCATGCATGTCGATGACGACACTGGCAAGACCATTTGACAATACGGTCAAACCACGATTCAGGAACGCAAAGCCACATTCCACACAAATTGTGTGGCTCAAAAGATGCGAAGATCAATAAAAGGGGAAGCTATGCGAACAAGAATCATCAAAAACCGAACGCCTCTGTAAAACAGCACTGTACTTCGACTACGACAATTTAGATGGACAATAAGCAGCGGTAACAAGCAGCGGTAACAAGCAGCAGTTTCACACGAAGATCGTTTCGCCGTATAGATAAAGACGGCTCATCAGGTGTGCAGGAATGGACTCAGATGGAGAGCCAAGGTTTAATTTATACAAAGAGAAAGACCAAGGAACTACAAGTTACGCTATACTGTCCACTAACACCACCAGTTACTAAACAATCAGCTCATGCGATAACATTGCACGCCACTGACCGACGGTACTCACGTTCTACAACTAACTGGCTAACAGCTCTAGCACATCTGGGATGCGCACTCCAACAGCCTTCCAACTGGGAAGGTTCTAAGTTATAGAAATAACATAAGGAGGGGAAGGTGAGCGCAACCAAGATAAGCACGAGCTGAAAGTCTCAGCTGTGAAGGACGTTGGCGGATTTTCTAGGTTCTAGGTGTAATGTACTGCTGTTATTTGTTATCACTTTGTCCTTCCTTCCTTCTTTCTCTTCTTTGTTCATTTTTCAGTTCCAAATTTAGTGTTAGTACACGCATTCGTTATTGCTCTCGCTTTCATTGTTAAAAGTCACACTTGTAAATTTCACTGCTGTTGTTCTTAGTGTTATTTCTCTAACTTAGGTTTTCTATAATAGTTCAATTTTTGTTTCAGTGTCCTTTAGTACAACGAATATTCCTGATGAGTGTTGTACGGAAACTTGTTCGAATCCTTATTTTCTCTGCACCATTTCTTCACATTTTCATCGTTTTATTGCACATTGTCTCCACAGTTTTCCATTACATGAATAAAGTGTACACAAATGTCGATCCAGCTTGTATTACTGATTGCGCTTATATGTATACTTCAAGTATTACAAAATCACTGAGTGGCTTTGAATGGTTTTTATCAAAATCATCATCATCATAAAAAATCATCGTGTATAATTATCATGTATAAAAAGACTCTTGTACGGGCAAGTCAACATGCATATCATCAAACTTAAGTGATTGCGGAAATCAACTCAAAATAAATAATTGGACACAAAGCAATAATTATAACATTGATATTATTGTTTCACTGGCTTCAAAGCTTTAATCACCGCCGACCATGTTGCTCCATCAGGTGATCATGGCCGCGTTCCTGATGGCACTTAGCACAAGGTAAAAATCCTAGCATAAGGAGGCACAAACACGTACAAGACAAGAAACACGTACAAAACAGCAATCAGATACAGAATAGAGGCAGATCTGAACGCTACTGGCGAGTAAAGAACCTGCATTCTGCAAGTGTTGCATGTTGAACAGACGAAGCTACAGTCATGTGAATTAAAAATTCTATCGTTTGCCTCCATTTATAGTCTACTCTAAAAGAACTAAGAGAACTTGAGACAAGAAATACGAACAAAAATCTGGAAACACGCAGTGGCCAATAGGAATATGCAAACTCACCTTACACTCTGGGCAATGGAAACGACTTCCAATAATTTCAGCCATGCATGTATTGCAGCGGTAGCCGATTACATTTTCATTGCACTGGCTTTGCAGCTCGATGAGCATGCACAGTGTAGCGTACTGCGCGTGCCGCAAAGTTGAAAACTCAAGATGGTTCGTACGACAGTAGGCAAGAAATGAATCCCGACACTCCATCATATTGCCGCTTTGCAGCTCGTCCACATCCTCCTCCATGAGCTCAAAGTCTGCAACCTTTTCTGAAGAAATCAGCGTGATGGTGAAGAATGCCTGGCCAAAAGGAACAAGAATAAAGGTAATGTAAGGAAATTTTGCCAGCAACGAATACAAGAAATCAGCGTAGGCGATAATACCAGCAACACTCAAGGAGCTATTAATCTAGAAGAACTAAGAGAACTTGAGACAAAAAATACAAACAAAATCTGGAAACACACAGTGGCCAATATGAATATGCAAACTTACGTCACACACTGGGCAATGGAAACGACTTCCAATAATTTCCGCTATGCAGGTATTGCAGCGGTAGACGATTACATTGCACTGGCTTTGCAGCTCGATGAGCATGCACAGTGTAGCGTACTGCGCGTGCCGCAAAGTTGTAAACTCGAGATGATTCTTACGAAAGTACGCAAGAATTGAATCCCGACTCTCCATCACATTGCTGCTTTGCTGCTCGGCCACATCCTCCTGCATGGGTTTAAGGTTGGCAACCTTTTCTGAAGAAATCAGCGTGATGGTGAAGAATGCCTGGCCAAAAGGAACAAGAATAAAGCTAATGTAAGGAAATTTTGGCAGCAACGAATACAAGGAATCAGCGTAGGCGATAATACCAGCAACACCCAAGGAGCTAGTAAGGCCGTCATCACACTTCGTTCTCTGGCTTCCCCTTACGTCTGCGTCCACAGTGAAAAATCCAAAACGGGTAGTCGTGTCATCAAACAGGCACAGTTCTTGACCAGTACACGCGGTCACGTTTTGGAGAAATTTGAAGATTCGCACGTACAAGGTGGCCTGGAAACAGACTGTGGGAGATACACCCTTTATTACAAAAAAAGTGGCCCACTCCCTACCACGTCTACTTTTCCCGTTTCTTCTGCTCCCGCTTTCACTTCATACATGGATCATCATGACAACCGACCAAAACCTTATGTGGATGTAGACACAGCGCTTTGTACCGTAGTGTGATGACAGCGTAACAGCTGGGGCATAAACTAAGATACTAGTAGAAGGTTCAACAAGAAATGGTTTCAATAAAAGAGTAACACCCGAAGGCAATAATTTTACAAACTAATACCATTATGAACTTAGAAGTTGCGACTTTGGCGGTACTAGTCATGAAGTTGGTTGCTCCAACGAGGAGCACAAACTTCTTGTCGAACTTTACACACTGTGTATTGAGCAGGCAGTGGTGCTTTCTTTCAGGTTTGCCGAGCAGAAGGTGCTACGTGCTCCTCGTGTGCTCCGGATGGCAATTGTGAGTCAGTCAAGTGTCAAGTTCGGCAAGAAGCGTGTGCTCCTCGTTGGAGCAGCCAACTTTAGTACCATTATGACACGCCAATATACTCTACAAAAATAAGTCACTTTTAAACATCGAATGTTACGTGCAGAAATTCATTTTAATATTCAGATACAAGGGCATACGTTTTCGATAGCCACCTCGCATAATCAAAGGACGACAGAGAGAGTGTCATAATTTGCAATCACCTGTGTCCCACAGATGAAGCTGTATATTCTGATATGCTTACAGTGTGTACGTCGCAAACTTGCCTCACCCAATGCCAGGCTTGCACTGTAAATAGAGAGAGTATTGCGACAACCTAAACTGTAGGACTGAAACGAACACAATTTCTCAGCAATCGAACGTTCTTGACTCTAACGAAAGAACCAACGAACAAATGTTCTTGATTGATAATTCATGCAAATCGTCAGTTTTCTGACAAGGGCATGAATACCCCGCCACATGATACAGGCAAAAAAGTATGCTTCAGGGAGGAAACAATCGCCATTGACATAAAAACCTTCAGCGACCTTGCTTCGCTCTCCGTTGAGAGCAACATCGCCCCGGAAACGCTGTCAGATGGCTCCGTAAGGTTGCACGCTGATTGTAATAAAACATTTGTGTCGAGAATATTGGGAAAAAAATTTCAGTTCTAACATTCGTTACCTCACAAATGTTCATTCTGCAAAGCTAAATTAACGAATATTTGAATAGTCGAGATTTCAGCCCTATACTAAAGCATGTCTCATGCACGGCTTTCCCTTCCCAACGGTGCATGATTCTCCCACAATTGCGAATTTCGACCAAATTATTGATTACGAAATTTCCCATGTGGGCCATTTTGTGGGTAAAATGGCTAAATAAGGCTTTTGAGAAGAATATCATAACTTGTCATCTTGATTTTGATTGTGAAGGGCTGCACTAAAACTGATTTCTTGCTCATGATATTCAACTCCGAAGAAACAATCAAGTTAGAAACAAATCTAAAACATGCATTTGCAATCAAACCAGTCGTCGCACTCCACGAGACACAGGTATACGCAATGCAAAGAAAGAATGAAACCATGGACCTACACTTTTATCCTTCTCAAGCCGGGCCAGGACACGCGCAGCGAAATCTTTTCTCTTCCGTGCCGGTGCCGGCTTACTCTTCTTCTTTCGGCCGTACTGCGGCTGGGAGCATCCCTTCTTGCCATTCTTCTGCTTGACATCATAGCAATACAGGCAGACAACAACAGACCACGGTCATCATAGCAATACAGGCACACAACAACATACCACGGTCATCATACCCCTCACACACCTAGCCAATAAAAAAAATCATCCACATGGATCACTGCATTCTCAATCAAATATTGTCTAGTTTTCTTTTCTTTTCCTTTTCACTTATCCCGTTATCAGCCCTCTTAAGAGTTGTGTATATCCCTGTTGAGGCATCCGATGGTAAGAAAAATAAATACTACTACTAGTCGTTGACAAGTGACGGGTCTACGGCTTCAGGAAGGCATTGGCTAATGAAATAAAGCTCTCACTACTTGGCGGGGGATTGGCAGACGCCAAGCCTTAAGCTAGCGTATGGTTTGTCTTATTCCCACACCGAGGACACCTAAGGTATCTTCCCAGTTCCAGAGCAGCGTAGAGCCCCTTGCTATGTTATTGATGAGGTAATATTTCAATGGCAAGTATTTCAGAATCACTACTGTATCCTTAATGTAAGTTTTGACCCTCAGGCAGCCTCCTTCTTATCTAGTCCGAACCTTTAAGATTTGATCAAGATGAAAGAACGTTGAGTAATAATACAAAGAAGTTGGAGTGCAGAGCAGTGCAAGTTGAGGAATGGCTGTCATCACATTGTTGTTTTGCATAACTTAAGAAACGGTTTTTTTAGTAACAAATTCGGCGATAATTATATGAAAGTTCGTTGCTCTCAATGTTCGAGCTTGCATCTTTCCCACTTTTCTGTAAAAACATAATGAGTCCGCTGAATGGAAAAGTGGGAAAGGTGCAAGTTCGAACATTGAGAGCAACGAACTTTCTTATAACTATCGCCGAATTTGTCACCTTCATCCCATGCACTCCATCATCTCAGCGGCATTGAAAAAAGACAAATTGCCAACAACCATAAGACGAACAGCGGCTGGTACCCAAATGCCATCCAACCAGTGGTAAAATGTTTGAGATGGAGTTGAATTCGAGAGAGAGATGTAAACCATCAGTCCTGCTCTACACAGAAGATAATGCATACCTCGGCCTCAGCTGCGATCTTCTCCGCTTTTTCCTCCTGGGCGATCTTCTCACACACTTTAGGCCAGGAATCACCCTCAAAGTATGGCATACCGGTCGGTACGCTGACTTGATCTTGAAGTGTAGACTGGTGAATATCCTGAAAGATCAAAAAAGTGAGAAAGGATAAACAACATTAGATTGCCAGTATAACAATAGGGATCAAACGGCTACGGTTTTCACCTTAACGGTTAACTGCTACGCTAACAGTCGATTTATCGGAGTACAACCTATAAGCTAGAGCAGTACGGCGTGTAGCTAGTTTGAACAGTATAGTACAATATCCTTGTTTGAAATGTACCGTGCGGAATTACTACTAATCCATACAAATGTCTGCATGCTCATTCACATAGATTCACAGATCAGAAGCATTAGAAAGATGTCATGAAGTTGATTCAAATTGTCATGAAGTTTCAAATTGTAACGGAAGGTACTATGTAGTGTACATTTATACATGTGTGCGTTGGATACCCTTTCGTTACACTGGGATAATCTGTATGTACTCCCATGTTGTTTGATACCCTTTGGATGAGGTATCGGTGGCAGGTAACTACTCTTGCTACTCTGGAAATCAACAAATTTTGACCGGTGAGAAACTTTGGCCGATTTAGAAAAGATCGTTTAATAGTTGTTGCCC